CAGATATAACAGCACTCAGCGCATGGAAGAAGAAAGATCTGAAAGCACGAAATTGGATCGTTCAATGTCTAGCGGACAATGTGCTGGAGATGATTAAGTTGAAAACCACAGCTAAGGATATTATGGAAACCTTAAGCGGAGCTTATCAGAAAAGTGGATTGACTGGCAGGAAGTTTCCGATGTCGAACATAGTGCAAAAAGAGTTAGTAAGTTAGCAAGAGACACGCAGCTATAGGTAGATCGCAAAGTAAACACGAATAATAAATACAAATACGAACGAAACGAAACGAAACAAACGAGTAAATACAAAAAAATACGAGCAAAAGTTAGGGTTTTTTTCAACCAAAACTTTTTGAATTTTCACTTTTACGCGCGTGGGGACCATGGTTTACAACACAATTTAAAAATTAAAATTTTGAGTTTTGAAATGACAATAGTATATTACATTACGAGTATAGAAAGTGACAAATTTCACACGAGTGTTTTTTCGCGCGAGGCGGCAGCCGAGTGCGAAAATCACACGAGTTTATGAAAGACGCTTTCTTACAAGTGATGTACTGAAAGTACTTTCAGAACGTGTGTGATATTTCGCGCTTTCCAAAGAACCAGCTAGTGCGGATTTTGTCATTTTCGTATGTGGTCGTAGGAAAAATAAATGACAAAACCAACCAACACAAATCACTGTCCACACCACAGATACTTGTAAATTTCTCTTATCTCCCGACAGTGTCGCCATCGTTGACTAAAAACCTAACTAAAAACCTTCGTCGCGATTCTCTTATTTGAGATATTTTTCTATAGGTCATATGTTCTGTGCAGAAAATTATCAAACTGTGACCACAGCAATTGACATTTACTTTTGTCAGAATCGGGCAGCTGTTACCCTAGATTTTGTCAAGAGCAAGTTGCTATTAGAAGAGTCTAGACAAAAGAAATGTGATAGTCATGGTGAAAGTTCCACACAGGCTTTCGGAGCACAGAAATAGAAAGGCACGCAGAAGGGAAAATTTCCATTTAAATGCTATGGATGTGGCTGACGAGGACATAAGAAATCGGATTGTTTCAAGAATAAGCAAGAAGACTAAAATAAATACCCAAAAAGGCATGCAAATGTTGCTGAAGACCAGGAAGTAACTTTTATTACATGCTTAACCTCAGAAAAATGTTACTCTGGAAATGGTACTATTGATTTTGTAGTGGATAGTGGAGCAACAAACCACTTGGTGACATAAAATTTGGAAAAGTATCTGGTAGATACAAAGAAAGTTAAGCATTACATTAAAGTTGCTAAACAAGGCATCTCTGTTGAACCACACATAGAAGGAACACTGCACTTAAAAACTAAGAATGAATTAAACATTAAGTTGCAAAATGTTTTGGTATGTAAGAATCTCTCGCATAATCTATTATCTCATCATAAGAAAATAGAAGCAAAAGGCCTCAAGATAATCTTTGAGAAAAGCCAGATATCAGTCTTGAATGGTGAAAATGAAGTAGCTTTAGGAAAATTGATGGGAAATTTATATATTGTGAACTTTGAAATACCTACCAGAAATACAAGCAAATATCACAGTGCAAGAAAAAGATATTTTACACAGAAGAATGGGGCATTCATCCGGGTCCGAGTATTCTTGTTCTTAAATCGGTGAAATCTGTTCACAAGGGAAATAGACAAGAAAACCATTTGTGAAATTGCCAGAAGAGAGAAAGGCTAAAAGAATAATAGAAGTGATGTCTGTGGGCCTATAAATCCAGTAAAGCATGATGGTATGAAGTATTTTGTTAGTTTCAAAGACAACTTCTCACATTTTTCAGTGATCTATTTTATGACCCATAAGAGTGAAGTTTGCCAGAAATTTAAAGAATACATAGCAATGGTCAAGACCAAATTTGGTAAATTACCTGAAAGAGCACGATGTGACAATGGCGGGGAGTATATTTCTCAAGAAATGAAGAATTATTGTACACAAAAAGGTGTAAAATTAGAATAAACAATACCAAGGACCCCCGAACAAAATAGAATTTCCGAACGTTACAATAAAACCCTCTTAGAAAAAGCAAGATGCATGATTTTTGATGCAAATATGAGCAAAGATTTCGGAAAAGAGGCTGTTGCCACATCAGCATTTCTCATGAATAGAACTTCAACATCTGTTTCCTCAGAGAATAAAGCCTCATCTGAAATTTGGCACAAACAAAAACCAAATCTTCTAAAGTTAAGAGTTTTTAGTTGCACAGCACATGTACATATTCCAGTAAAGGATGGACATGGAAAATTGGATCCCAGAAGCCGTAAGATGTTCTTAGTGGGATATTTTTTTTTTTTTTTTTTTTACGGATATGCGCACTCGCAAGGAAATGTCCTATCACGCTCGAGAAGCGGCAAGTGCGCGGAAATGTCGGTGTATGTTGGTCTTGAAACGGTTCAGGTTGTAACCTGCAGGGAAAACCGTCGCAGGGAGTTTATTCCACAGCGATGCTGTTCTCCAGAGATATGAATTCTGATATAATGAGGTTCTTGGTGCCTCTAGTTTGACAGTAAATTCATGGTTGCCGTCTGTTTGACGGGTTCGCCTGGTAGGTGCTACTCTCGGTGGAATCATACGTGCCAACTCTTCAGAGCATTTTCCGTGATAGTACCTGTAGAAGAGAGATAAATCGCCCACAGATCTGCGATGTTCGAGACCATCCAAGTTACGAGTAAATGCGGGGTCATTGATCAGCTTGATAGCTCGTTTTTGCACGGTATTCAAAAGCATTAAGGTATGTTTGGGTGCTGCACTCCATATATGTGAGCAGTACTCCATAGTTGGTCGAATCTGGGCTTTGTAGAGTGTCAGCAATTGGCTTGGTGTGTACAGATGTCTTGTACGAAATAGCACCCCCAGCTTTTGGGAGGCCCTTTTAGCAATATCTGCCACGTGACTGTGCCAAGACATGTTGGTCTCTGCAGTAACCCCCAAGATGTTCAACTGACTCTGTAATGTGACAGCACTTCCAGATAGCATGATGTTTGGCTCACCGGTGCTGGTCTTTTTTGAAAACAGAGCTGCTTGGGTTTTCTGCGCGTTGAACTGTACAAGGTTTTTGTTACCCCAGTCCTCTATTATCTCCAGGTCGTTATTTATCTGCGATATTTGAGTTAGTCTAAGATGATGGAATTTATATATACTGATAATAGATGTCCGTTTATGGGACCCAAATTCCCGAAAAATGTCATTTTTGATGAAAGTAAAATGATGGGCGGAGAAACAAGAGTGAAGGAGAATGAGATGAGAATATGTGAGAATGAAAATGAAGAGAATGAATCTGAATTGGATGGTGAAAATGATGAAATGGAAAATAATGATGTGAACGCACAAGAAAATAACAATGGAAGAAGAGTAACAAGGCACAGATTCTTACCTAAACGCTATGACGATTATGAAATGATGATGGCTTTATTAATTGGAGATTTCTCAATTGAAGTTCCAGACACCTATCAGGAAGCTGTAAAAGATAGTCGATGGAATAAAGCAGTAAATCAAGAGTTATTATCATTGAAGAAAAACAACACATGGAAACTAGTGCCTAAATCAAGTATTCCAGATAGTGAAAAAGTGATCGATTCTAGATGGATTTTTCGTGAAAAAGATGTCAATGGTGAGAAAATAAAGAAAGCAAGATTGGTGGCTCGCGGATACCAACAAACAGACTTAAGTGAGGAAGTGTATTCACCGATTGCAAGAATGCACACATTACGTATGTTATTTTTTAAGTGTTCAAGAATATATGGAAATACATCAGCTTGATGTAAAGTGCGCGTTTTTGAATGGAGACTTAAAACAACCAGTGTACACGAAAATACCAGATGGACTTAAACCCGATGATGACTCAAAAGTATGTAAATTAGAGAAAGCACTATATGGACTTCGTCAATCTCCAAAATGCTGGTATGAAAAACTGAATTTTTACTTATTCAAATTAGGTTTTATGAGATCAAAAAGTGATCCATGCTTATACTATTCTGAACATACCTATTTATTGATACACGTAGATTTGATTTCAGTTTCCAAATTAACATCAGAAATTTGTAAAGTTAAAGATGAGCTTATGAATGTTTTTGAACGTTTGACGTTTTGACGTCACAGATAGAAGGAGTGTCTCAGGTTTTGCTCTCAAAGTTTTCGGTAACATAACTTTTTGGAAAACCAAAAAGCAAAACACAGTCTCAATTTCAAGCTCAGAGGCCGAGTACGTTGCTTTGTCAAACTGTTTGACTGAAGTTTTATTCGTGAAACAACTCTTGGAAGAAATGATCAATTGTAGTATCTGTCCAATCACAATCTAGAAGTAAACACATTGACGTCAAGCATCATTTTATTAGAGACAGTATTTTCAAAAACGAAATATTCTTCAAAATATTTTCAAAACAAATGAGCAAGTAGTAGATTTGTTTACTAAATCTCTGAGCAGTGCAAAGTTTAAATATTTTAGAAATAAATTAAACATCAATGTTTGCTAAATGAGTAGATTATTTGAGGTTAAGTATTCAGAAATATTGTTTTGTGTTGATTTTTGATTTCAATAAGTAGTTCTAGACTGTAAGAATTGAGAGGGCGTGTTAATGTTACAATTCATAAATGTGAACATCGCAATGTTCCGCGAGAGTACCCCAAATTTATATATGACTTTTCGACATCCTGTAATTAGTGTCAGCAGTTGTAGATGTTAAAGTTGTCAGCTGCAAGTGCATATTTTGTTTATCAGAATAAACCTTTTGTAATTGTATTAAATAAGAGTCTTTAAAACAATAGCCTCTGGTTAATGGGTTATAGAGAAGCTCGAAAATAGAAAGCAGTACAACATCACAAGCTTATTCGTATTCTCTGTACCTACGTTCTTTTGTAACTCATATTATTTGTAAAATAAAATTTTCTTATAGATGTTAGGATTATTATGTTCGAACAAAGAATGCCTTTGACTTCAAAATATAGATCAATTGTTCAAATTTACAATACCTGAAAAATATCATCAATTATCCTGGCAAACATCGAAGTGGCTCTTTGAGGCTTAAATCCTCCATTGTCCTGCGGCGCTACAGGATTCGCAGGAGCCGGATTGATACCCGTGGAAATTCCGCTAATTTCCACCGTAGACGGCTGTTGCGGTACTTCTACGGGTTTCTTTTCTTCAGACACGGCGTTTATTGCGACATCGTTAACGGTTGCCTAAAAAAAAAACGGAAAATTTAAAGAAAAAAGTCAATGTACGATAATTGACTGTTACATAAGTGCTCGTGCACTTCGCAGAAATATAACTGAGTGTGCCGGTAACATGTTTTTACCGACTCGATATTCAATTAAACTTGGGTTTATGCAAGTGCACGTAATCATCTCGGGCGTAATGGGACACAAAAAATTAAAATGAAAATGTTGCAATTTTTAAGGAGAATTTTAGCTTTTGAAAGTGGAAATACATAGTGTCTATTTTAACTCTTCATTGTTATAATTATATCGGGTCTTCAAAAAAAAACCAATCAAAGATTGCTTTGGTTACGAAAACGTACGTCGCATTATTGTTTCTTTATTGGTCAGGTTTTTTGACATGGCATTATGACATTAGAGTTCATTGACAAAATTAGGAAAAAATATTGCTAAGACATACGTTTCCAAAAACATAGCAATCTTTGATTGTTTTTTTTTTTTGAAGACCCGATATGATTCAGATACAAATGAAAATAAGAGGTTTTCAAAGTTCTGTGTTTTCAAATGTTTGACTGGTCGGACATCGTTGACAGATAAACAATGAATTAAACGTCACTTATCAACCAATTACGTTAAATGCATTGTTCATCAGTCAAGGTGACCGAATGATTATTCGTTGAGATTGTTCTTAAACATGGAAATTTTTTTGGGGTGAAAACTTTTTTCTTGGCTGAAGAGTTCTTCCATTTTATTAAACTTTGTCTGACTGTTGCTCGACGACAAAGGGAAACGGGAAATTGGAATATCACTTTCATTGAATTTCCACCCGAAACAAATTTACCTACTCACAATTATTAATTTTTTGGCTCTTTATCCATCTTTTACAAAAGGTTGACTTTCACCATTTCAATAAGCGGTTTTATCAATTATATTATTTCGGGTAAACGCTTTCTTTTTATTACTATTTTAATATAAGGAAACTTAAAATATACCTATACATTTCAAAAAATAAGAAACAAATTTAAATTATCGTGAAACACAATTCAAATATTATATTTCTTTTATAATATATTACGTTACCTACGACTTTATTTACTAAGAAATAAATTGCGACAAGAAGTAATAGATATCGTGCAACAGGAATTGCTTATTTATCGATCTCAAACATTTTCTTACATTATTTGACTTTCTAATGAACAAGGTTGCCTGAAGTAAATATTTACAAGCAGGAGGTGAATTTCTTATGAAGAAAAAACGCATTCAAACCGAATATCGATAATAGACCAAAGTGAAAGAGGAAAAACAAAAAAAAAGAGCTAATTTTTATTATTTGTATATACAGGGTGTACCATTTAAAACGAAACAGGATAAATATCTAATATCACATTTATTTATTTTTTATTCGCTCATACACGTTATTTGATTTTCAAAGGGGGAAGTTTTCTGCAATCATTTTCAGCAATTCAACTTCAACTCTCTAGGCGAGGTGGGACCTACCCTTACTTTTTCAAATAAAGCAAGGGGTCGAGTGATACATCTTTCAAAAGACCGTTAAATTCTCTTTCATTTGGAAGAACATTGATCGCTCTTTTAATACAGGTATCACTCGACCCCCTATTCCATTTGGAATGGGGGACCCACCCCCCCCCCCTTGAGAATTGAGTTAGTGCTGAAAATGTTTCAGGTCAGGATCCATAGAAATAGATTAGACGATGACAGCCATCATAAATTATGCATATGAATGGGTCATGATAATGATGTTATAAAGATTAAAAAGAATAAAGATGTATAAATTAACATGGCGCTGTCGGTGCGTAAGTTTGTAATAAATTATTAGCTCTAGAAATTAAGGATTCAATTACTAAAATGGGTGATAGCAGAGGTGTTCCTGCAATGGTGAAGCAGGGAATATTTGTGAGAATTGGAAGCTCTGGAGATGCAAGTTTGAAAATTACCTGATTGCAAGTGAAATAAATAAAAATGATGAAGCTATTCAGTGCGCACAAGTGTTTCACTACATAGGCGAAGAAGGCTTCCGTATTTTCACAACCTTTTCATTTAGTAATGTCGAAAAAGGCAAACTGAAAATACTCTTGGACAAATTCAAGAAACATTTCCAGCCAAAACAAAATTTGACCTTTGAAAGATATAAATTCTTCACATACCTATAGACAAAAGTCAGGTCTAACTTTTGAACAGTTTCTCGCGGAATAAAAATTATTATCAATGAAGTGTAAGTTGAGTGGTCGTTGTGAAAATGATTTGTATTCAGCAGTATATCATTGTTACCAGTTGTTTAATTTTGTCATTTGATATGTTATTGTCATCTTCTATTATATCAATATTTTGGTATAATTAGGCAATTCAAACCACGTGACATTCAAGATGGCGTGGCGGCCACACATGGGCCAAAAAACACAAAGAAATTTCTAGTTTCTGCCCAAATTAATAGTTTAGGTACCTAGTCAACAAATATTTTAATTATAACTATGGCAGTTGTTGGAGAGCTCAGACAAGAGAGCTCTTCAACAAGACACAAGAGAGCTCTCCAACAAAAAACTGATTTCTTGCCCCCCATGGGCAAGCCTATACATTTCAGCTAATTAGTGACCCAATTTGCCTCCGCTGGAGTTTTCGGTAACACAGCACCTGGCACATCACTTTCTGTTAGTTTTATCTAACGTTTTGCAACCAAAGAAGCCATAGCGAATGCACCGAATACTAAACGCGAAAGCACATGTCTATGTTTTGTTTGTCGACCCGTCTATTGACAGACGTCGCTTTAGATAGTCTCGCACATGCGTCATGCAGACGATGAAAGTTTCTATTCGGAAGTTTTATTCATTACAATTTATTAGACAATTTTTTTTTTTTTAAATCAGCTAAGAAATGGAACGTTTCTATCATCCAGAAAGATTCGAAGTAGATTCGTCGACCAGCTCTGCATTCGAAAATTTTCTTGTTGCCAACAAGCCTATAACTGAAAATCTCAGAGATGAAAATAAACTACAACTTCTGGTAAATCATATAGCTCCTAATGTGTATGCATTAATGAGTGAATGTTCAACATATGCTTCCGCTATAGCCATGGCATACTATACCTTTTCAACTTCAAATTGGGATCAATCAATTTCAATTTGGAACGTGACAATTTCAAATTGGAATGAATCAACTTCAAATTGGTAACTAACACGTTCAAAATGGGAATAAACAAAGTTAAATTGGAAATCAACAATTTCAATTTGGTACTAATCAACTTCAAATTGGAATTGATGAATAAATTCCAAAGTTTTGCAAGTCAAACGGCAGTTACTTTTAAACCGTATACTATATATGTACAGGGTGGGGATTTTAACTGGAACTAATTCGCTAGAGCCTTCGAATAAAATATGTGGACAAAACGCAAAAATGCGTCGATCAAGATTTTTTGCTTGAGTTTTTTTCACATTAATTTTTTTATACAGGGTGTTCCAAGAACAGCTGTACGGTTGTCAACTTTATTTTTCTAAATGGTAGCCCCTGTATATTATGACATTTCTGGATTCTGCTGAAAATTCTAGACATATTTCATGTACAATGTTATATACCTATCTTCAACTGTTTCGGAAATATTGACGGTTGAAAATGGACTTTTTTGCAACTTTGACAGGCTGTAAAACCTTAACGGTTAATTTTAGAGGAAAACCGATTTCACATACCTATCTTGGATTTTCATAAGCTATCATTTGACACCAACTTTGAATTTAATCCATGATTAAAAATTCCAGTTAAATTCAAAGTTAGTGTCAAATGATAGTTTATGAAAATCTAAGATAGGAATGTAAAACTGGTTTTCCTCTAAAATTAACCGTTTAGGTTTTACAGCCTGTCAAAGTTGCAAAAAAGTCAATTTTCAACTGTCAATATTTCCGAAACAGTTGAAGATAGGTATATAACATTGTACATGAAATATGTCTAGAATTTTCAGCAGAATCCAGAAATGTCATAATATACAGGGGCTACCATTTGGAAAAGAAAGTTGATAACCGTACAGCTGTTCTTGGAACACCCTGTATAAAAAAATTGATATGGAAAAATTTCAAAAAAAAAATCTTGATCGACGTGTTTTTGCGTCTGTGGTGGTGGCTTGGGTACTCGTGAAGCACTTTTTACATTCAACAAAGGTGCATGGATAGCAGGCCAAATACATCTTGGCCTGCTCTATAGACTACAACAAAGCATTCAATATAGTAAAACACGATCAGCTTGTGGAAATACTGAAGTGCTAGCGAAACGTCAGGATTCAGGAAGAAATTCCAACTTAGCCCTTAAATGAATGTTTTTTTTTTTTTAATTCCAAATATCATGAATACGCTACTTTGAATAGGTCTTAATCTGGGAAAAATAAAGAAAAAAATTAAAATCGTGTTTTTCACTTTATTTTCACAAGAAAACTGTTTGTTGCTAAACGGCAACATCATGTATTACAGGATGAGAAACTTACATGTGAAAGTTTTTGAAACAGTTATTTTTTTTATTCAAACAAAGATCTGCACCACATTTTTCGCATTTGGTGTGTGTAAAACCTTTACATTTTGGAAACTTGCACCTCATTTTGGCTTCTTGAAGGACTGGCCAGTGCCCCATTTGGTCAGTACGAACTTCCATCGGCGGCAGGTGCTTCATTGGACCTCTTTCTCTTTTTTCTTCCAATTCGTTTTCCAGGTTGGTACTCGGACGTCCGCGTTTCCTAGGGGGCGCTCTCACATTGCACAAATTATAAGCCACTTCTGCTCTAAATTGAGCTTGGGTTTTCACCTTGCAACCAGGCTGTTTTTCCGAAAGAACTGGTTCGTAGAGTAGCCAGGCATTTACCAAACTCAAATCCAGAAGATGATAGAAAATACGCATGTACCATTTGCGACTTTTCAAATGTATCTTGTACCTTCCTTCCCATGAAGCTGTCCAGCAAATCAACGCCCCCCATATGTCGGTTATACTCGGAAATAATGAATGGGCATTCAACTTCTAGGTTTTTTTTTCTC